GGTAGCTAACAAAATAATGCTTTCAATTAATTAGAAGTTATCCAGAAAAAAATTCCATAAGTAAATCTGAGCACTAACATGTGGCTCCTAATTCCAGTCACTAAAGACGTTTATGATAAACAACAAAGGGTTTTGTTTCTTTTTATGTTCCAGGTGGCCAGTCTGATCTTGGATATAATTCATTATCTAAGGATGAAGTTAGAAGAGGAGATATATCTACTGAGGACATTCAAGAAGAAAAAGATAAAAAAGGGAGTGATTCTAGTTCCTGTAGGTATTGTTTAAGTTGCTACTATATAAAAATGGGAATATATATTTATAGAAAATACAGGTGACTTTAAGTATAAAAGTACTAGATTCACTTTGTATTTTCCCATTATATTAATAACTCTTTCATTCCTCCCATTACAAACCCTCTCTACCACCTAATACTGTCATACAAATGCTTCATGGGTGAAGTATATAGTCTCAGTGGCAAAACACTCTCCAAACCAAATACTATTAGAGTGAAGGCTGTATAACTCCAAAAATACTCTTATTGTAAGAGAAATATATATTTCTTGAAATGGTAGTTTTTTCCTGAGATTTAACAATATTTAGAGTTTATTAATGGACTTTGACTTACATTTACTTGCCTTCCATCCTCCACCAAAAGCACTTTTTTACAGCTAAAGAGGAAATATAAAATTTGTGCATGGACCTCATGCATGATCAGTACTTAATCATTTGATCTACACTTTGAGGCCTCAAATAAATGGAATCACTTATTTGTGGCTGACAAATAGATACAGAGATGTTCGATATTTTCTTATCACCTATTTTCAGGTAAAAATATTTAGAACTAAAAGCTGTGTCTCTTTATGCCTCCACTATGTATATAGATTTCATTTTATCAACATTTTCACTTTCATCTTTACAGTGTCAGAGAGCGAGAGTGCAAAAGGAAGTGCTGATTGCCTTCCTAAGCTCAATTATCAAAGTTCTTCCAGTATAGTTCGCCACAGTGGGACAAGTAACAACAGTGCTGGTAAAATATCAGGAGAAAGCACAGGTGAGTTGAATAGTATGCTTCTGTTATGTGCAGAATAAGTTGTATCTGTATGACTAATGAATATTTATTTTTTAAAAAAATCCTCATTCTTCAGGGTTATTTTTAAAAATATTTTGTGCAGCCTCTCATGGTATGGCTTAGTAACTTGAGTTCTAGTCAGGGTGGGGAACCTGTGACT